GACTCTGGAGGAGAGAGAGAGGCTGACGACATGGTGCAGCTCTGTCTCACTTACCTCCAATTCAAAAACATCACCCCGTGATGTCATTGGTCTTAGAAAACAAAGGACAAACAACAACTTTTAAAAAAATATCTTGTCTTTACCTCAGCTGAGATTAACCAGTTTGCTTTTGAGAGCTTTATAGCGTCCACAAAGAATTAGGAACCAGGATCTGAAGAATCCTGTGTCCCTGAAGCGGCTCGTGCTGATTGAATGGCTTTTCCCAGAATCCCCATTTAAGAGGGTGCCCAGGTCAGCCATGTTTTCTCCTCTTCAGGTTGCACTTGGGACTTTCTCCACCCTGACCAGGTACCTTCTTCTCCTCTTTTCTGCTTCCTTTCATGCACTGTCTTCTCCCATTAGCATGTAAGCTCCTTCAGGGAAGGGACTGTTTCTTTCTGCTTTTATTTGAATTCCCAGAGGTGAGCAATAGGGGCTACTTTATAAATGCTGGCTGACTAGACACTGCCATAACCCCTTCAATAGACTAGTAGGAAATAGACTAATATAAGCTAAATGAATTTCATTCTAGCACATCCTATTCAAATGTCTTCTGGTTACTTTTTGTTGTAATTTGGGGCTATAGTGGTAAACCCTAGTTTGCATTCATATTTTTTAATTGTTTTGAGTACTACTGCAACTTTTTTTGAAATTTAAATGTAATTTATATCTTCAATGTGCTTTTGAAAGTTTTATTACATTCTTATGTGTGATTTTATCATTGCGTTGGAGAATTTTTTTGAAGTGAAGCAAATCTTTAATTTGTTAATGAAATTCAGTGGAAAATGAAACTTAATTTGTAGAAATTTGCTTTAATGCCGCTTTTTTTTAGGAACTCAACTGTTCCATACATGTCTCTCATACGTTACAGAGCAGACAATCTTCAATTTACAGTTATCAGATAGAGTGATTTTCACTTATAACCCTCTGGCAGTTAGATCTTTTTTATTATTTGCACTTATAGCAGGCAGCCTACACACGAACATAATATACCTAGAGTTTTGAGGAAATTGGTCCTAGCCTCAAGCCCTCAAATGCCTCCCTCCACTTGGTGCATGGAAATTTACAGTGATTTTTAGTGTCATAAAATGTAATTGTTAAATGGACTTAGAGATCAGCTTGGTCCAGCCCTTCTTCATCTTCCAGGGGAGGAAACAGGCCCAAGAACCACCGTAGCTAGTGTAGAGCAGCGGGCTTGATCAGTGCTGGGGAGACCCAAGAGCTCCAGACTGAAATGAGAAGGGGCCCCCAGCCCGCGGGAGATGAGGGGGGTGCGGAGGATGCTCCTTTGTTTTCTGATTCATTATGGCGAAAGCCCGGAACACAGGACAAGATGAATTTTAAAAATAAACAAAACAAGCTTTTGTATATGTCCCTTTCCAGTTCACTGTGTTCAGTTACTGTAGCTTTGTTTCATAAATATATATGTGTGTATACACATTCACAAGTATATGTTATTCGTGTGTGTTATAAGCACTATGTGTCTGGTTCTGGTTCTGTTGATCTTTGGATTATTTCATATAGGTAGTTCTATATTTTAAGATAAAAACTTTGACATTAAATTTTAATAAAATGTTATGTGATACCATATCACCCTTATTGATTCATAGATACGTTTTGGAGAATTTTGTACTAATTGTATAGGTATGTAATATATAATTGATTAGTTTATTATAGATAATGTTTGTGTTCATTCTATTAAATCCTGGATCTCCATCAGGAACATAACCTCCTATGAAAACGCTGAATGTGATTTTCCTATAGAAATAATTTATATTATTTAGATTTTTGGTGACTTAGGAGCCTAACCTGTCATAGGTAGAAGAATAACATCTATTTTAATAATCATTTGGTGAAAGTGGGTAGCTAGTTGGCGCAGTGGATAGAGCACCGGCCCTGGAGCCAGGAGGACCTGAGTTCAAATGTGGCCTCAGACCAAACACTTGACACTTACTAGCTGTATGACCCTGGGCAAGTCACTTAGCCCCAATTGCCTAAAAAAAAAAAAAGAAAAAGAAAAAAGAAAGCGGGCAACCTGATCTTACTAGGAAAGCTTCTAGCTTATCCCTATTACAAGTAATGCTTGTAATGGTTTAAGGTAAATACTTATCAATTTAAGGAAAAATCCATTTATACCAATACTTTCAAGTGTTTTTAATAGAAATAAGTATTGTACTTTATCAAAGCTTTTTCTGCATCTATTGATATAATCATATGATTTTTAAACTGTTGTTATTGATATAATCAATTATGTTAATCATTTTCTTTTTGTTAAATCATCCATGCATAAATCCCGCTTGGTCATAATGTATAATTTTTGTAATACATTGTTGTAATCTTTTAGCTAGTATTTTATTTAGGATTTTTCATATAAGTTATATTTATACTATATTCTAGTCTATTAAATTAAATTATTTACTATTAATTAAAAACATTTCATTGCTTAAAAAAATGTTAGCTATCATCTGAGCTTTATTAAGTAATCTTTTTGCTGGTGGAGGGTCTTGCCTTCATGTTGATGGTGGCTGATTGATCAGGGCAGTGGTTGCTGAAAGTTGGCGTGACTGTGGCAATTTCTTAAGATTAGGCAACAATGAAGTTTGCCATATTGATTGACTCTTCCTTTAACTTGAACACTTAGAGGCCATTGTAGGGTTATTAATTGCCCTAACTGCCATATTTCTGTGTCTCAGGGAATAGGGAGGCCCCAGGAGAGGGAGAGAGACTGGAAAGGTTGGTTGATGGAGCAGTCAGAACGCACACATTTATCAGTTTGCCATCTTATATAGATGTTGTTCGTGGTAGCCCAAAATAATAATAATAATGATAATAATAATGATAATATCAAAGATCATTGATAACAGATTCCATAACATATAATAATAATGAAAAAGTTTGAAATATTGTGAGAATTACCAAAATGTGACACAGAGACATGATGTGAGCACATGCTGTTGGAAACATGGCACTGATAGACTTACCTGACACAGGGTTGCCACAGACCTTCAGTTTGTAAAAAATGCAGTGTCTGTGAAGCACAATAAAATGAAGTGCAATAAAACAAGGTTGCCTGCATCTCTGTATAAATACACGTACCTCTTATACACATACACACATGTATACATACACACTTATAAATATATTCACACATATAAATTGATGGATGAGTTCTATAGGTTCTTCATCCGGTTACAGATTTTAGCGTGGAGAGTAGATATTCATCCACTTGGTTTTTCCTGAGTAGATAGTGAAGCCAAACTTTGGGTGATTATGGATCTAATTTAGGAGACTCTACAATGTGACGGAGCTTGGTGCAATCAGCAAAATGCCATCCACAAACAGGCACATCTGGAGGCCCTCCCCATCTCTAGAGAATCCTTCCATCGGAACTGGTGTGTCTATGCCATGAAATTGGCAAACACTTCAGCATACATCTCCATTTTTTTATGTCTTGATTGATAATAATGATCGTTGAACAAGGTTATTGCTATTTTATCTTTCAGAGAATTTTGTTTCATTTTGACATACAAATAGTGTTTTGCCCCGTCCAGAAAAATTCTTTTTAGAGTCAACAGACAGTAAGCACTAGATATTCTTTTTTGTTGTTGTTGAGTCACTTTTTTAGTCATGTCTGACTCTTTGTGACCCCTTTGAGAATTTTCTTGGCAAAGATATTGGAATGGTTTGCCATTTCCTTCTCCAGCTCATTTTACAGATGAGGCAAATTGAGGCAAACAGAATTAAGTGACCTGCCCAAGATCATACAGCTAGTAAGCATCTGAGGCTAAATTTGAACTCAGGTGTTGTTGACTTCAAACCCGGTGCTTTATCCACTGGGCCACATAGTTGCTCTAGATACTCCTTACACATTTCATTAAATCATGTGATTGTAAAGATGTGGTCTGTTATATAGTCTAGCTTGAAAAGCCTATATGGGTTAAGTGGTGCAGTGGACAGAACACCTGCCCTGGAGTTAGCAGGACCTGAGTTCAAATCCTGCCTCAGACACTGATTAGCAGTGTGACCCTGGGCAAGTCACTTAACCCCCCCCCAATTGCCTCCAAAATAAAAAGAGAAGAAAAAAAAATCCCGTATGTTTGGTTATAATACCTTCCTCAAGAACTCTCTCAATGCATGTGTATATTATTTTCACAAAAAATGTGTATAAATTGGAAAGTAGACATTTGGGTTAGTTATTGTTTCTCAGTTGTCTTTTGAGGGTCAGGGGTAATAATGAGGACTAAGATTTTTCCCACTCCTTTGTTATCTTCCCTTCCTTCTTATACCTTGAGATTTGATTCCCCCAAGGAAGGCCCTTCAGATTTTGTTGCCTCTAGCACAGACTACCTTTGTTTATACTTGTTCTCATGCAGTTGATTTTCCCATTTTTGTTCATTTCTATACTATTTTCACTTCCTCAAGAGGCACATCTAGGCCTGACGTTAATGCCCACTATAGTGGCTATTGTGTTCTAATTTATAGTGATTATTGTTGTTGTTCATTATTGCTGTTGTTGTCTCATTCTTCTCATATGTTTTGATGGAGTTGAGGTGGACATGGGCCTGTGACAAGCAGCTAGTCTGTTATTATTCTTTTATATTTAATGTTTTGTGGACAGTTTCCCAGATGGATAAAACACCTTCTTTCTGTAATTGAATAAAGGTATTGGGATGTAAGCTCCTCTTCTGTAGACTCACTGAAAGTTGGGACGACTGTAGTAGCTGAAATGATGATGGAGTGGTATTATTATTATTAATGTCATTCTTATTAAAATATGATAATGACAACAATAAGTGCCATAAACATGGACCTTTTATTTTTCTGATCCTTCTTGTTTTCTTCTTCTTGTATTTAACTATTTAAGAATTTTTCTCATTAAAGTTTTCTATAATTAATTTTTTTGAAAGTTGGTTTTCTGGGGAAAATACAGTAAAATTAGTAATAACATTTCTTTTTTGTAGAGCAAACAAAGAATAAGGAAATGTTTACCTCACATTTGGAGATACCTAATGAAGCTACAAACTGTATGTCACCAGCACCTGAATTCCAGTTTGATTTTTACTCCAACAAAAGCAGAGAAATGAAGCTAAACTTAGGAATGACAGAGAAGGACTATTTGGCAGCTGGTCCTTCCAAGCTGAGTTATGGTTCTGTACATCAGTACCAAAATCACATTGGGCCTGTAGAGCCAACTGAAAGTATTGTTTCAGGTGATAGAATATTCCTTGACTCCTCAGAAGAGGATAAAAGTGAGACTATTCCTTCAACATTCCGAAAAAGGTGTGTGTTACTTTAGTCAAGTATAAAGTTTAATACTATTAGAATCATGTTTTTTTTTTCACATGCTTTTCCACCATGGTGGTGGTATAGTATAATCTGGTCAAGAATCACTATTGGTACTGTTCATTTGAAGGTCAAATTATGTCCTGGATAGTAGAGTAATTTGTTGTTTCTTTTCCTCACTATAACTAAAAAGTATAAAAATCATTAACTAAAACAATCAAAATAATTTTTGATATTTACCTAACTGGCAATAAAAATGTCTTCAGTGATAAATGAAAATCATTGTGGGTATATACATGCTGAGCTTATTAGATTTAGTACTTGCGCTTTCTAGGATTGTGATTGGATGAAGAAATCTAAGATCATCAACTTAGTGATGCATAAAACTCTTGAGAATGGAATTCTTTTCATTTTTCAGATGACACCTCTAAGGCCCAGGGAGGCAAGGTGATTTCTACTAGTTAATATAGAAAGTTAGTGGTAGAGTCATTACCCAAAGTGAGGTCTCCTAAATTCTCATTCATTGTTCTTCCCACCATAATACTTTTACTAAAGAAAAATGGTGTATCTATGTAGGTATCAATTTTCCTTTAAAAAGGGCTTCCCTAGTAGGGCTTATATTTGCACTGCCACAGTGTCAATGCATTTTAACCACCTCATTCAGGTAATATCCAATGACTTGTGGCTCCAGAAATAGGAAGGTCAGCCTTGTTTAACTGTTTTAATTTTGGTAGATCCATAATATCATTGGCATGATAGACTTTCTACCACTAGTCTAAAGCTAGAAGGAATAACTAGTAGAAGGGGCCTTTGAGATCATCATCACCTTATTTTTAAAAATTGTTGTAAAATTCTGAACTCAAACACTGAAAAAAGAACATTTCCATTTACACAGCAGAACACACATAAGATTGTATATGGAACTGTAAATCTCATTTCATACTACTTGCTTAAAAATATATATATGAACATTTTACATATTGCTTTCAAGCCTGTGCTGCTCATTCCTTCTGAATTTCTTTCTTTTCCCTTAAAAAAGTTTCAGTGGTTCTCTCTCCCTTTTTTGGCATCACTATGCTAACACTACTTCTGCTCCTCCCCCCAATTAAAAAGAAAAGTAAGAAAGAGAAAAACAGCCTTTGTAACAAATAAGCATTATCAAGCAAATTGAATCTAGATAATGGTCATATCCAAAAAGTGTTTCTTTCTGCCATTTGGGTCTGTCACCTGAATGGTGGACAGGAGATGGGTAGTGTCCTTCATCACAGGGCCTCTGGAGACATGGCCTGTCATTGCATTTATCAGAGCTCTTAAGTCTTCTAAAGTTGTTTTTCTTTACAACATTGTTGTTTTTGTATAAATTGTTATCCTGGCACTTCTAACTTCACTCTGTAGCAGTTCATACTACTAAGAATTCTCTGACATCGTCTCTTTCTTCTTTTCTTAATGTGACAATAACATTCCATTACATCACATATCAATCACAATTTGTTCAGCCAGACCCTCATTGACAAATACCTCCTTTAGGTCCTAGTTCTTTGCTTTTATTTAGTTTTTTCTCTTTTAATTCCCCCTTCAAAATTAGAAACTTTGTTTTCTTTTTAGCTATTCCTTTTCAGTTATTATCCTATCTCTTAACCATGCTACCTTTTGTTAGTTTCTCCATTGGTTTTAACGTATTTCTATAACAAACTGTGTGTTCAACTCTCCTTTGTTTCAGAAAAGAGTGAGGTGCATCTGATCCAACCACCATTTCCTCCATGTTTGTATACTCTTCATGTACTCCAATTATGAGAAATAAGTTCCAGTCCCTTTTCCTCCTACCCACTCGAGTGTATTCTTTTTACTCCCACTTTTTCCCCCTTTTAAAACCTTCAGATTAGAACTAGTCTGTGCCTGGGACCTGTAATTTTCTTAATTTCATTGATATCTTTTGAAGACATTCAAGTTTTGAACATGGAACATATGTCTCCTTTCCCCCATTAAAATATAAGTATTGCATCACCATAAAATCCTTTTCAATTTTTTTTTAGCTAGCGTTTATGTAGTATTTAAAGATTTGCAAAGCTTTTTATGTATACACTTTATTTTATCCTCTAAACAAAACTATAAAGCAGATGCTGTTATTATGTACATTGTACAGAGGAAGAAACTGAGGCAGAAGTTTAATGACTTGCCAAAGCTCCCATAGCTAGTGAATGTCAAAGGCAGGATTTGAACTCAGGTCTTCCTGACTACTTTCTCTCTAAGCTGCTAAGTAACTCCTTCCAATTCTTTCCTCAAGAGCTTTTATTTCATTTTTTAATACCTTGCTTCATTTCTGCTAGGGCAGGGGTGGAGAAGTAAGGCCACACGTGGCCCTCGAGGTCCTCAAGTGCTGCCCTTTGACTGAATCCAGACTGCACAGAACAAATTTGTTACACCCCTGTGCTAAGGACTCATGTAGTTCTTGGGGGAAAACCCATTTTTCTCTGAGTCTATGCTTGCAGTTGTTATGGAGTCACTAGCCCCTTCTTTGGGACGATCTCTAGATCTACAATAATTTTTGATACTGGTCATATTTTCTTTGATTTACTCCTCTCTCTGGCTTCAGTTCCTGAGCTGGGACTTTGTTCTAGGGCCAAAGTCTGCTTCTTGCCATACTTCTTAGTGGAATGGTTGACCCTTCTTGACCTCCCTCCCCACCCCGAGTTCTCTGCTTTCTACCTCTTCGAGATAGACTCCCTTGGATCTTTGAGGTGGAGAGTGCTGGATCTTTAGGGACCTTTGTAGCATCTCTGTACATTAGGGACCTCAGAACCAGTGGACCTGAGCTTTCCACATCTGAGCACTGCTGTGCTATTCTGGTCATTACTGTTCCCTTAGAACTTCCAAAGTTCCCACCTGGGGCACTTCCAGAAGATGTTGAGGTTAAGATTAATTTTTTTATTCGTGAATGCTTTAGGAAAGTCATTGATAGTATTGCTGTTTTTCAAATGCAATTCAGACTGATCTCCTATTCAACAAAGGGCTCTGCTAATTGTTTCCTTGCAGCAATTTGAAAGTACAGATGAACTGATTTGACAGGATGCCTATTGCAGTCTAGGTAATCTGTGATTTTTATCCACTTTGGTTTTGGGATGTGATTGATTACACTCATCTATTTTGAATTTCTGTGGAATTTACTATGGAGGCTCAATGGAATTGGTCATCATATACAAATAGAAACATTTAAAGAACCTTCCTATCAGTGAGGAAATCCTTCTTTTTATGGACTTTACACAAGACATCTTCCATGATACTGGCAAATACTTTAGAAGAGCTTAAGTTCACCTAAGGAGTTCTTCTGTGGTTGTTCTAATGTGGCTAAAAAATTGGAGAGTCTTTCTGCTTGATCAAGGCTAAAACAAAAATTTTTTCTTGTCTCAACCGCAGAATTTCCAACATTTACTTTTGCTTTTACAGATTTGAAGTATATTGACCTTGGCAAACATGGAAAACCCATAGAATTGGTATTATCCTTATCCAACACCAATGTTTAAACAGAATTCTATGATAATTTCAAAGACTACATGATGAGCTTTTGGATTTTCTAACCACAAAGAAATTCCACTGTGGAAAATAATCACTCCTAGGGGCTATGTCTCCATTGATTTTTTTTCAGATGATAGTTTAGCCAGTTGGTAATGCATTTTATGCATCTATGTATATGTGTGTATACATGTGTGCATATTTACATGTGCAATCTATTTAATGTTTATGTCATTCTTTACAGAATTTTGTAAAGTAGGTAGGTGTTGTCATGATGATGATTAGCTTAATGGCCATATTTACTAATTCATGGTCTTGTTAACACAACACTTTGATGAGTTTCCCTATGACCTATTGAATATGAAAATAACAGATAACAAAGATGATCATTTCCTGGACACTAGAGCCGTGGGAAAGGAACTTCTCATACCAAAAATGAGAGACAGCACAGAATAGCAGATAGCATCTGACACTTCTTAGTTTTATAACCAGAGGCAAATCACTTAGTATTCCTGACCATGTTTCTTCATCTGTTGAATGGGGATTCCTACCCACTAGTGTTGTGGTAAGGATCCAGTGAGCTATTGCATGTAAAGCACTTTGTGAGCTTTAAAACATATACATAATATAGGGGTAGCTAGGTGGCACAGTGGACAGAGCTCTGGGCTTGGAGTCAGGAGGACTTGAGTTCAGATCCAGCCTCAGACACTTGACAGTTACTAACTGTGTGACCCTGGGCAAGTCATTTAACCCCGATTGCCTCACCAAAAAGCAAAACAGCAACAACAACAAACCCAAAAACCCAACATATACATAATAACAGTAACAACACCTAGCACTTACATAGCGTTTTAAAGTTTGTAAAATACTTTACAGATATTTCATTTTAACCTCACATCAACCGTGGGAGATAGTTGCAGTTATCCCCATTTTACAGATGAGGAAACTGAGGCAGACCAAAGTTTAAGTGACGTGCCCTGGGTCACTCGGGCAGGAACTGTTTGAGGTCAGATTTGAACCCAGGTCTGGCACTCTATCCATTGTCCCACCTAACTGTCTCCATGTTAATTTTACATTATATACATCTAGTATTATTATCACTATGATTATCATCCTTATTACTACTGTCTTTGGAACATTCTTAGTTTATTTTGTTTTCCATTTTCTAAGTGTGTAATCCCAATTTGGTTGGCTCAGGAATGTTGCATTAATTATGAGATGGCCCCAGAGTAGGTAGGAGGTAGTTGTTAACATAAACATTTTTCATTCAGTGACAAGAGTAGTAGCTTTATCTACTGGTCATCCTTGTAACTTACCGGAATTTTTTCAGCTAAGTAAAATTACTTAATTGAAAAAATCCATATTATGAATATATCTAATGATTTCTCTCCTGTCATTTGCAGATAACTTTAGTGAATTGAAGTGGATCCAAGTGACTGTTTGTGAAGGCAAGGGACATGATACACATTGTAGACATTCCCAGTTATATTTGGAGAAAGATTAACTTACTTGGTTGAATAACTTTCGATTTATATAGTTTCTAATGGCAAATTATATGTGGATATATATACATGAAAATATCTTTTGTTTTTCTTTAGATTATTTAAAACATCTAACTGTTCATATAGAAATGCTGATTGCAATGGTGGTCCTCCTTTGGATTTTCATATTGACCCAACGGAAAACCTTAAAACTAAGACGAACAAAGGGGAATTATGGAAGAATAGTGTTAGTAAGCAGAAGCCACCGTATTTAGATGTTAACCTCTTTACTACAAAAGATGCACTCTTTGCTTCAGATGCTGGAGAAGCCATTTTCAAAGTACAAAATTTAACAAATGCTCCAGAGGCTTTTGGTATTCAAGGTAATTTTAAACGATTTGGTAACTGTTTTGAGAAAGTTAAGTTTAATAGTATAGAGAACTACAGATAAATTTAGTAGTTTTAGTAGGTTGCCACTGTAGTGGCACATTTTTCTATATTTTCCTATTTCATTTTAGCTTGGTAGTATAATTAAAATAAACATTTGAAAGAATTTATATGATCTATGAATCTATTATGTGGAAAAATTCACTTCTGCATATATAAATCTGTGATTTTCTTCTGTTTTAGGGACTGCAGAAAAAGATTTTTGTTCCTTGAAGTCTGTTACAGAAATCCGTATCCTTTTTAGAAGAAAGTAACAATTCAAATTTTATGAAATTATAATTTTTTAACATTTTATTTAACTTGTACCTTGGGGTACCTGTTTCCTTAAACTTTTAAATAACTATGAAGTGGAAGTAGTAGGTCACGGACAAATATTTCTGGTTATATGGATGAGAGATGCATTTTTATCAGTATGCATGATTCTTTAGAATATAGTTTGCATGGTCAAAGAATTCAGTGCCAAGCGCTACCCGTCCATTAGTGGTGAGCCTCTTTGCACTTAAGTACTGTACTAAGCTGGTCTTTAGAAAGTAGACGTGGTCTGTTGCCAGGATCATACTGCTGCCTTTCCAGCATGGCAGAACTTGCCACCTGATATTGCCTTCCTCTGCTGGTACTGCCTTCCAGGACCCAAGGCCACCTCCACGCAATTAGTAAATCAGCAAGCATTTATTAAGCACCTCCTGTGTGCCAGGCGCTGTGCTAGGTGCTGGGGATGTAAAGACAAAAGAAAAAGCAGTTTCTGCCTTCAAGGCATAGTTGTCATCATGAGCAACTTAATGGACACATTCACCAATTAGTGCGCTTGTGAACGTCTTACATATAGTTAAATATGAAATTCTAATAGGGGAGACAAAATGCACACCATATGTGGGACGTGTGTGCATGTTTATACAAAGTGTAAAAGAGCAGATACAGGATAACTGTGGGAGGGCAGATAATATAGCAGCTAAGGGACTAGAAAGGCCTCAAGCGGAAGGAGGTATTTGAACTGAGTCTTGAAGGAAGGAAAACATGGATTCTAGCAGGTGTAGCTGAGCCGAGCATGGGAGGCAGCCAACGCAGAGGCAGAGAGGCATGAAATGCAGTGTCTCATGTGAGGAACAGTGAGTAGGTTGATATGAATGGACTGGAGAGTTCATGAAAGGAGTAATGGTGAAGAGACTGGAAAGATGGGATGCGGCCGGGTTGTGAGCAGTGAGCTTTCAGGGCCAAAGAGGAGTTTGTATTTGATCCTAGAGATAAGAGGGGGAAGAGCACATGGCCCATGAGATAGTGTTGAAATAGAAATGGCAGAATTTGTCACTTGATTGGATACGTAGGATAAATGAGTGTGGGGAGTCAGGGGTGACACCGCAGCTCTGAATCTGGGTGACCGAAGGGCTAGTGGTGTCCTTGACAGAAAGAGGGAAGCTCCAGAGAGGGGTAGATTTTGAGGGAAAGATGATGAGTTTGAGGTGCCTGCAGGAAATCCAGTTTTAAATGTCCAATATACAATTGATGATTTGGGATTAGAGATTAGGAGAGTGATTAGGGATGGATGTAGAGAGGTGGTAATCGTCTGCAAAGTGATAATAATTGAACTCATGGGCACTGATGAGGCCAACAAATAAGAATGTAGAGAGGAAGGAGAGCCACGATGGCAGAGCAGCGAGTATGGTAAGCTGCCCTTCCTTCCCCCGCCCCTGCCATTTCTCCAAATAGATCTATAAAATACACCAGATTAAATCAAAATCAGGAAATCCAAGAAAAAACCATGAGTCGTTTTCCCTGGCCAGATCAGCACAGGGAGACAAACAGGAAGGCCTCTAGACCCTGGGGGTGAGGTCTGGCAAGGAGCATGCTGCATAGAGCGCTCCAACCCAGGGTGGAGTCTTGTACCAGGGCAAGAGGAGGTCCCCGGTGTAGTCCACAGAGTGGACTAACCTTATGCGTGATGAAATAACAAGGGGCATCTGCCAGTTCTGTCTCTCACTACCCAGTTACAGGGGACCTGCACCCGGGGGGATGGTCCAAGGTGAGGAGTGGTCATGGGCCGTAGCCTTTGTACCAGAAGAGGGACAAGTTCGGAAGCAAGCAGTAGCTGTGTGGCTCCAACCCTCGAGGTAGAGTTAGGGTATCAGTTCCAGCCTGTAGCCCAGGCTGAAGCCTGAAGAATAATGGTAACAGGAACCCCAGGCTGAAATGGAGCCTGCAGTTCAAGCACTGTGAACCAGCGGAGCTGCCCAGCTTATCCGAGTGGGTGAATCCAGCAGCAGTCCACTGAAATTTATGAATAAACAAGAGATAGAGAGCAGAGTGAGCTGTGAAATGGATAATTTCTATTTCATTAAATTAAAAAGTTTGTACAAATAAAACAAATGTAGCCAAGATCAGAAGGAAAGCAGAAAACTGGAAAAAAAAGTTATAGACATTCTCAGATAAAGGGTCAAGTCTATAAGAGTAAGAGTCATTCACCAATTGAGAAATGGTCAAAGGATATGAACAAGCAGTTTTCCGATGAAGATATCAAAACAATTTATAGAAATAGGAAAAAATGCTCTAAATCATTATGGATTGGAGAAATGCAAATGAAAACAACCTTGAGATATCATTTTATACCTATCAGATTGGCTAAAATGATTGAAGGGGAAAGTGACAAACGTTGGAGGGGATGTGGAAGAACTGGGACACTAATTCACTCTTGGTGGAACTGTGAACTGATCCAACCATTTTGGAGAGCAACTTGGAATTATGCCCAAAGAGTCATTAAATTGCCTACACTCTTTGACTCAGCAATATAGCTGCTAGGTCTGTTTCTAAGATGATTAGGGAAAAAGGAAAAGAACCCATATGTTCTAAAATATTTATAGCAGCTCTCTTTGTGATGGCAAAGAACTGGAAATTGTGGGGAGGCCCATCACTTGGGGAATGACTGAGCAAGCTGTAGTGTATGATTATAATGGAATACTGCTGTACTTTAAGAAATGATGAGCTTGATGATCTTCGAAAAACATGGGTAGACTTGCACAAAATAAAGAACAAAATGAACAGAACCAAGAAAATGTTGTATACAGTAATAGCAATATTGTTTTCAGAACAACTTTGAGTGAATAAGTTATTTTGACTATTATAAATATCCAAATTGACTGCAAAGGACATATGAAGGAAGGTGCTATCTGCATTCAGAGAAAGAACTGATAAATAGAAGTATGTATAGAATGTTTTTATACAGATATATACATATATATGATATACATTTTATATATATATATATATATATATATACACACACACATATATATACATATTTGTGTCTAATGATAGCCATCTCTAGGGCAGGGGGACAGAGAAAGAAGAAGAAATAAAGTTACATGATAACTTTATTATATATTTAAAAGGAATAGCAAGTTGTACATAATAGATTTGCAGTTTCATGTACAATCATCTTTTTTTCTATTCTGTGTTATGGAAATGCTTATTTCTTAAGTTCAGGATAAAATAAAAGTAAAAAAATAAAGAAATGACATATAGAAGAAAGAACCAGAAAGGGAATTAACAGCTCAGAACAAGAGGCACAGAACTTTGCCCAAGCAAACTCTCTAAAAATTAGAATGGACCAAATAGGAGTAATAATTCCATGGGCCAACAAGAAATATTAAGATGGGGCAGCTAGGCGGTGCAGTGAATAGAGCACTGGCCTTGGAATCAGGAGGACCTGAATTAAAATCTGTCCTCAGACACTTACTAGCTGTGTGACCCTGGGCAAATCACTTAATCCTGATTGCCACCCTCCCAAAAAAAGAAAAAGAAATGTTAAAGTCAAAAGACTGAAAAAATAGGGAAAAAATGTAAAGTATCTCAATAACAACAATTGACCTGGAAAACAGATTGTGAAGAGGTAATTTAAGAATCATTAGATTACTTGAAAGCTATAACCCCCTAAAAAAGAGCCTAGATTTCATATTTCAAGAAAACTATCATTATCTCTTAGAGCCAGAGGGTTTTGAAACAACCTTTTGAAAGAAACCTTAAAATGAAAACTCCTAGGAACATTATAGTCACATCCCAGAGCTTCTAGGTTAAAGAAAAAGTATTACAAGCAGCCAGAAAGGCGGAATTCAAGTATCAAGGGACCACAGTCAGGATCACCCATGATTTGGCAGCCAGCACTTTAAAGGAGCAGAGAGCTTGAAATAAAATATTCCAGAAGCAAAGGATATAGGCTTACAACTGAAAAATAACTTACCCAGAAAAAAAAAAATGAGTATAATCCTACAGGGGGGAAAATGGATCTTTAATGAAACAGAGGACTTCATTCACGATGAAAAGACCAGAGGTAAACATGAGCAAACAATGGTGAAGGACTTCAAGGGTAAACTGTACATGGTCTAATCTGGGGAGAATCTTACCTTAATGAGGTATAATAGAGGAAGTTTCCTTAGAAGGCCTAGGAGCAGTTCTGTTCTGTCTTGATGATCTTAAAAGAAGAATGGAAAGGGAGGGGAGGAGAAATACATTAGGAGGAAAAGGAGAAGGATTAAGGAGAATTATCTCATGTAATTGAGGTGGGCAACTAGAAGTCTATGCAAACAAAGGGGGGAGGTGGGAAGGTGACAGACATTTGAACTTCACTCTCATCTAAACTGTTCAAAGGAAGGAAAAATATACATGTTATACTTACAAATATATGTATACATATATATGTGGTTGGATACAGAAATACATTTCACTCAGTAGGAAAATAGGAAGGCGAAGGTAGTAAGGAGGATTAGAGAAAGGATAGAATAAGGGAAGAATTAGCCCTAGGCAAAACGAACTCTAAGGATGTACAAAAATATCCATAGCTCTTTTTGCAGTGGCAGCGAATTGGAAAATGAGGGGGTACCTGACAATTGCAGAATGATTAAACAAGTTACAGCATATAAATGTGATGGAATACTATTGTGCTGTAAGAAATGATGGAGGAGATGGTTTTGGAGAAACCTGGGAAGACTTGTATGAACAGATTGAAGTGAGTAAAATTTAAACTATTTGTAAAATGACAAAAGTATTATAAAGGCAACTTTGACAAACTTCAGAACTTGGATTAGCATAATGACCAACCTTTGAGAGTTAGAGAGTTAGAATCAGAGGGTTAAGGTCAGGATTACAGGCGGCGTCAGAGGCATTTTAGGGTTAGAGTTGGATTTGTTCTGTAAAACTTGGACTCAGTCAAAGGGCTGCACTTGAGGATCTAAAGGGCTACATGTGGCCTCGAGGCCACAGGTTCCCCACCCCTGATTATTCTGGAGTATTGTATTAATATCTATATTAATTATAATTAATTTCTCCAGTTTAGGAAGGACTTTCCTTAAGTTTTAGTTGATCATATTGGGATGCAGGATGGTTGATGGTCTTGGTTTCTGGGCACGTTGAGTAGGGAAGGAGGCAGATAGTGATGACACCTGTCCAGTAGGGACGATATAGGGTGGCAATGCTTCTTCCCTTCTTATTTGAAGCAGACCTTTCCTTTCACCTGGAAACCAAGTCCCATGGGTTATGGAAGAGAAAATAAACATATAACTTCAAGTAAATGTGTAACCACTTGATACGGAACTTTTAGGGTAACAGGATGCATCTTTCTTGAAAATTGTGTGTATCATACTTAGTGCCCACATAGAAGGAACTATGCTTATAGGATTCATTTGAGTAAATACTTTATGAAGTACTAGAGCCCATTACTTAGGACACACTTAGTACAATTCTAGTGGCAAGAAATTTCTTGGGAATATTTTTTTTTGTTTTATCATTTAATTTTTTTCCATTAACAATTATCTTTAAAAATTGATCTGCCCTTTCCAGTACAACACCCCCCCACCCCTCTCACAGCAAAAAAAAATAAAGAAAGAAAGAAAGAAAGAAAGAAAGAAAGAAAGAAAGAAAGAAAG